AGCCTAAAAACACTCCAGTGCAAGAGAGTAACTGTACGCACAGGATTAGTCCCATAGATTACATATTTTGGTAAATATTCAGACTGGTAATTTTAGATTGACAAAATATTGTTTGACTTCTGGCATATATCTTTGAATGCTTATTACAGACAGGCAGCAGCTGCTTCATAGTTTTGCTTGAAAATAAATCCTAAGGCTATGAGCCTGATGTTAAAACTTTCCTTTTATATCAATAACCACCTACGAAAGAAACCAGTCTCCTTGGATTTTTGAATGCCATATATTTTCCTAGGATAGAGTTTGCCTATGAAGCTTGGTAAAAATCAGAAAAGTGGTTTCAAAGTCATGGCATTAAAGCGTACCTGAGATTCACTTTTCAAACGAATTCTGTTTAGTTCATTGCAAAATGGTTCGGCAAAGCACTGCTGACTTGAAGATAGTCAGTAATCCCACTTTAGCCAACAGAAGTATCCACAATGATATTGCAATGTTGGATGAGTCATTTGCTAACTGTTCTGTTTCCTTAAAAGTTGTTTTCCCATATTTTTATACTTGGAAACAACAATGGTCATACCTCTAAATTCCAGAAAAAAAGTTTGAAAAATTAGCTGCCTGAAATTTAGCTGGAAAAAAAAAATACTGTGACATGTTTCCTGTATAGGTACTGAAAAGCAGACAGCAGCATTGCAAGTGGGTAATGGCAGAAATTCTATGCAAACCACCTTGTGGGAAATATTAGTTAACACATCCTGCCATTGTGGGCTGAAAGAAGGCAGACAGCTTTGAATCCTGAGACTGTGTAACATTGCATACGTTCTGATTTCTGCAAATTCTATTTGCTGTTCTTCTTCTTTCCCTTAAATCGAAAAAGACTTTAAAAAACTTCTAACTCACAATGGAGTTGGTTATTCAGGGCTAGTGCATATACAAGGTTTAATTACATTTGACTTAGAAGTCAAAATGCTGTTTTTAAAAACCACTGGGCCAGCTCCTCAGAGCAAAGATGAAGAATAGGGGATGATGATCCTCAGCTGGTGGATGGCTTAGGTAAACCAGAAGGGTCACAATGATCCTGGATGGCCTTGGGACTACAAAAGCAAGAAAGTGGCTCAGAGCCTCCTCTCCTCCACCTATTTCATTTTCTGGCTCATTGTCACACCACTGTAAGCTACATGTTGTCTAAAGAGACTCTTTTCTTGAGGTAAGCAGTGTCAACACTGCACATCCTGGGAGGATGCTGGATACATTAAAAGAGGAAAACTGTCATAGTTTTAATAGTCTTGCTCTTCTCCATTTGTCAGTCTAAACCAGTTGTTCTCAGTCTTTTTAGGTTTAAGGCATCCCTTGATAGACTCAAGACTTCTCTCAGAAAATGTCAGCTTTTAATTTTTCACTTCCTTTTTGACTACAGAAAAATAATAGGGCAATTCTTCTGTTGCAAAGAGCTCAGAAAGACTACAACAGATTCGAATGTTTTTAATTCTATGGATTCTTATTTGAAATTTCTGGGATTGCCTTGTGAATCATGCTTATACATGTAATAGTGCTAACGTTGTATGACACTCCATGGCACCTCTGAAAGTACCTTGTGGCACTGCAGGGTGTTGCAGTATCCTGGCTAAGAATTACAGGTCTAAACAAATCTGGGCCTATTTAATATTGGGTACTGATATTTAATACTGGATGTTTAATATTTGGGAGCAGGCAGCCTAAGAATTTTTGGCATTCTAGGATTATAACTTACATTGAAGGACAAAAATCCTCCTCCTCTTCCCTGGACCAGAAGAATTTACATCAAATGACAAGGAAGAAGGAAGACAACCTAAACATTGCATTTTAGAGAATGGGTACATAAAAAATACCAATACATGAAAATAAGAAAAGCTCAAGGACAATGATGAGCAGGGACACAGCTTGTACTTTGAACAATAGATGAATCACATCCAGAAACTTGAGTAGTGGTTAGATTTTTTTCTACACTGGTGACAATTCTGTCATTTCATAAATGAAGCAGCATTGTACAAAAATATAGTTTAATGTTTCCTGAACAAGAACATGTGCAACAACTCAGCCTGGAAAGAAGGCAGGGCTGGGCATTAGAAACCTCCCCACCAAAAGCTTTCTTTTTAACATTAAAAAAAAATTGCCTGAAGATCACTACATGGTCTTACCAAAATTATTCAAAAAACATTTCTCCTTAATCCAGTGCTGTCTCCTTTCAATACATCATATAATCAGAAAAAATACTACATTACTGATTTACTTTAATCCTAATCATTTCCCTGCAATTCCTAGCATGGAAGGAAATTGCTGCATCTCTCTCACACCATTCCTTCTAACCAGCCCCCAAGGAAAGCCCTTCATAGCTCAGAGATCCATTCTCTGGAAAGCCAAGGGCTGGATGTGGAGCAGTGGAGAAGTCAGTGGAACGTTAATGGGGCATGTAACTCTACTGGATAAACCATCACTGCCCGAGCATGAGCTAATACCAGGGAAACCCTAGCAGTAAATGGAGCTGAGTTCATGAAAATCATAAGAAAGGAAGAAGATAGTAAAACCTCCCCAGAAATACAGGATTTTCTATGCATGGCAATGTGCTGTTCTACCTTCATGGTTCCCTGACATGGTTAGGAAAAACTTCATGAAGTTTCCATTTTAACAGCCCCTCTGGTGGACGCTGCTGCAGGTGGGGGTGGCATGATTCACAGATGTTTGAAGACTCGCATGTATCATTTGGGCACTGAAATCTCAGATCTGTCCACCCACTGCTTACATGGAATTAGGAGTTACCAATCACATTATGACTCCCCATAATCCTGTTTCAAATTCCAGTCTGTTTTCTTAGCATGCGTAATAGCTGATTCAACGGCCAAATCTCCAAATCCGAATTGAATCGGGAGACCAATAAAAAGGTCTGAATTGATCTGAAGCCCCCCAATCAATTTGGAAAAGATTCAGAAGAGATTCGGGCAGTCCCCGCTCGCTGCTGCAGGGAGCTGGACTGGGACTCTGTGCTGGTAAGCAGGGGACAGGGGGAGAGGCTAGAGGAGGAGGGAGGGGACCATGGGGGCACCCCCACTAGGCCACATCTCTTGCCTGTTCCCCCAGCTCCCCTGAGCACCCCCGACCCCCGCCCGCTCTCAGTCCCATCAATGGCTGCCCTGCCCAGCACCAGTGTCCTGGCACCTAAAAAAACCAAGAAGCCCTTCAATCACTGGCTGCTACAGCAGCTGTCAGGGCCTCTGGGGACTCATGGCAGAGCCCCCCATGCAGCGTTGGGCAGTGGGGGTAGCGGGAATTGCCCCCCTGCGTGGTAGGAGCCGGTGAGTGTGGGGCTTTTTTCTTTTTTTAAAAAACACTGGGATGCTGGGGCCGGGCGGGGCAGCCATTGACCGGGCTGGGAGAGTGGGTGGGGGATAGGGGCTCATGGCAGAGCCCCCCCATGCAGCGCAGGGCAGTGGGGGGCAGCAAGGATCTCTCCCCCACCCCCGCCTGGGAGGAGCCAGTGAGTGAGGGGCTTTTTTTTGCCTTTTTTTCTTTTGAAGTGCTGGGACTCTGGGGCTGGGTGGGGCAGCCATTGATGGGGCTGGGACAGCAGGTAGGAGATGGGGCCTGTTTGATTAGGAGATTCAGCCGATTCGATGGCGGCCAAATTTCTGAATCGGATTTGGCTGAATTGATTTGGGACAGTGATTCAAATGACCGAATCGAATCACTGTCTGCCGAATCGGCTGAATCTGAATCCAAAGTGAATACTAGCTGCTTCACACAGGCCTACTTATTACCTATTGTTTTAGGAAAGCCAAGCTATTTTTCTTTCCAAACTTTAGATATCATTCATTTCCCCCAACAAACATGCACATCTCTCTTCGTTATTTGTCCCCTGGATTGCTGTGACTGGCCAGAGGCCAGCACCATTTTTCCTGGCCTGAACAATAATGAGAGTTTGCCTTTGAAGATGATGCCAAAGCTGCTGTTTCACTGACCAGCAGGGAGTTCTTCTGTCCGACACTCCCTCTCCCCCTCAAGACTGCCTAACTCCTTTTCTAGAAACATGCAGTCGCTGGCCCAAGAGACAGCAAATCCCTGAGTAAAACCATAGATCAGAGGTTGCAAAGATCTCCAAAGACCCAGCAGGGTGAAATACGCAAACAGACATCTCTAGATAATATAGGCAGCAGAACATATGTACACATGACACAATGTATTTTATTTTTCAACACTATGTCAAGAAAAAGAGGAGCTTACTGTAGTTAATGAGCTGGACCAGAAGTCTAAAACCTCTTCCAGAAGGTGATAATGCATCTATAATCACCTTAAAAGATCAGGCCAGTAGTTTTACCTGCAGCAACACAGGGCCTCCTAATGCCCATGCTGAAAGATTCAGTACTGACTCAGAAAGAAGTGTGTCACATATGGATTCACTGGCATTGCCTCCTAGATCACCCTGTATTACTTCTTGGAAGACTTCCTTCCAAGTAGAGATCTGGTCCTGCTTAGCCTATCAGACCTGATTTGTAGGCCTGTGAAAAGTAGCAAGTATTCGCTTTGGATTTGGATTCGGCCGATTCAGAGGACAGCGATTCGATTCAGAGATTCAAAATCACTGTCCCAATTCGATTTGGATCCAGGTCAAAGATTAGTCCCCAGGGCCAGATACACCTTGTTGAGTCTTTTCACTCAGCCCACAGGGCTCCCAGAGGGGTCTGCAATTTCAGGGGTGAATCCTGCTGCCAAATTCCAAGATATGGAGCCCTGGGTGGGACATATATTGGCGCCGAGGGGACAAGGGATGGCTGTGTTAACAGTTGTGCCACTGCTTGCCCCACCATTGCTCACCCCACCACTGGTCTGGATCCAGGCCACAAAGCTCCTTGTGGTCCAGATATAGCCTATGTAGCCTATAGATTGTATAAACTTTTTGCTCCAAAGGTTCTGGAGAAACCAAACCCCCATTATTTCTCCACCACCAGGTAATACCCGCTAATGCTGATGCTTACCCAGTAGAGGGGTGCATGATGCAGCCACCTTTATCAGTAGATGCTTTACAGTTACAGCCTCTCTCCAGAGTATCATGATTCATTCCAAAATTGTGGCCCAGTTCATGAGCCAAGGTTACTGCTGCACCGAGAGGGTTCTCTGAATGATCCTCAAAAACAAAGCAAAACAAAAGAAAAACAAAAAATATACTTAGTGAAGCCAATGACTGATAAAATAATACACTCTTT